CACCTCCACCACCACCTCCACCACCACCTCCACCACCGCCACCACCTTCACCTCCACCACCAACACCAATACCACCACCACCCCCTCCTCCACCACCACAAGGTCAATAGTTCTCAAACCATGTTCCCAGGACCAACAGCATGTGGGTACCTGTTAGAAATGCAAATTCTCAGGCCCCACCCCAGACGTACAGAATCATACACTGGGGATGGGGCTAGCTCTCAGGTGATTCTGATGGATGCTAAAGTTTGAGAGCCACTGCTTTAGGTGAATTTCTAGGACACCACAAAGGCCTTATTTTAAGTGAGACCTTCCAAATGTATCATCCAAGTTTGTGAAAATATGTCTGTCATATGCAGTAGTAAGAGAAACAGAACAACTTTTATTTATTTAGATAATATATATGACAATCTTTGCTAACCTTTACTGACATACAGTTTCTGGCTTACTGCTTAACAGCCTTGAGAGGCAGGTACTATTCTTACCTCCACTTGATAAGTGAGGAATGCAGTCTCTGAGAGACAAGGTCACTTGTCCCCAAGGTTATATAGGTTACACAGAGCCAGGAATTGAAGCCAGGCTAATTTAGCTCCAGAATATTGCTCTTAACTACTGTTAAAGATACTAGTTGCCAGAATCATAAACATAAGTCTAGAGGATTTGTACGGCTTTAGTGGGACTCTCTTCCCCAATTTGCTTAAGGAGAAACAGAGGCCCAGAGAGATTTGCTGAGGTCACGTTGTTACCTCCTAATTAGGGGGCTAGAACCCAGGGCCTCTAGTTTCAAATTAAGTCCTCAGTAAGCCCTTTGCTGAATCAGAGGTATACAAGAATATTCTACACATCTTTGGGACAGCGTGGATAAATAAATCAGGAGGAAGTTGAGAAGGAGGTAATTAATGGCTGTCCATATTTGAAACCAGTGATGGTAGGTATGACTTGTGTCTTGGGAACCGCAAAGGGGTCTACAGCACCTTGTGGAAATGGATTATTAGTTAACAACATGGGAATAGCCGTTGGCCACTCCCATTCCTGTCTGTATCAGCACCCCAGGTCCCCATATTTTCAGGCACTCCTTAGGGTTGCTAAGTGGCTATCACACTCCTAGCAGCGGGAACTGCAGGCATGGACCAAGTTCCTGTTTCTCTCTCCCCAGGGTCCCTGCCACATGTGAGGCCCACAGATTCACCCCTGGGCAGACTTCCATGGAAGCCTCTCACCCACATGGAGACATAGGGTTGCATATGTAGAGGTGACTGTGGTGCCCCAGGGCAGGCAGCCTCATAAACCCCAAAGAGCAGAGCAGAAGACCACGGGGCCTTCCCTGGCTGTGCTGGCTGATTTCCAAGCTCTCCCTTTCTCTCCTCCTCGCTCTCTAGAGCCACCTGACCTTCCTTTGGTTCTTCAAGGTTAAAACAAACAACCCCCCACCAAAAAAAAACAACCTCACACCAAACTCCTTGCTTTATTCTTGCTTTTAGGGCTTTATTCTTGCTTTTAGGGCTTTATTCTTGCTTTTAGGGCTTTATTCTTGCTTTTAGGGCTTTATTCTTGCTTTTAGGGCTTTATTCTTTATGTGACTGAACGCCCTCCCATCCTTCCTCTCCAAAGCAGCCGCCACCCATCGGTTCTCCTGACTCTTCATTTCTTTCATGGCCCTTGCCACACTTTGAAATTGCACACTGTGTTCCCCTGCGGGGTCTCCCTCACAAGTGATCAGCCTGTAAGGGCAGGACGCGAGTCTCCTCGTCCCCAGGGCCCAGCACGATACTCACCTCAATACTTATTACTGAACCTCGATAAAGATTCAGCGTAAGAAATATTTGTTGGGCTCCATAAGTCTTAGTTGAATGAATGAACATGGCCTTTCAGAAGCCAGTTCCCAAGGTCCAAACAGCTCCCCAAATCAATGCAGCCTGGGACTCCCTGCCATCCGTCCAAGGACACCGCCCCTCCCCCCATCCCGCTCAGCTGAGAACCCGACTTGTGTTCAGACCGGCTTCCAGTTCACGGCGCGTTTCTGCATGTCCACGCTCTTTGTAAGGAAAGCTAAAGACGTCAGTGGAGAGACAGACGCACAGGGGGAAGGCGGGCGTGGAGGGCGCGTTTGCGTTTCGCGCTAAATCTATTTCTGGACCCAGACCCCGAGAGCCCGGCGAGCCTCGGCCGTGTCGGCGCCGCGTCCGCTTTAAGGGGCCGTCCCCGCGCGCGCGGGCGGGGCGCTCCCGGAAGACCCGGGCCGCGCGTCCTCCGCGCCCCGATCCTCGGCCTCCGCACCCCCTCTCCGCTCTCGGCGCCTGGATCCTCGGGCCCCCGCCCTCCGCACCCTGATCCTCGGCCCTCGGCAGCCCCCACCCGGCTCTCGGCGCCCGGATCCTCGGCCTCCCGAACCCCCCTCCCCGGCTCTCCGCGCCCGGATCCTCGGCCCTCCCCGCTCCCCGGATCCCCGCACCCCGGCCCTCCGCACCCACCCCCCCAAAGCTCCTCCCCATCCAGGGACGCGGTGCCCGGTCCTCGGCCGGCCGTACTAACATCCCCACCCACCGCCCCAGCTCTCAACCCCTTGCCCGTCTGGTCCTTCCTCCCTCCCCCGCGCCCCCCGGGCCCTCGGCGCCCAGGCCGCCGCACCGACCTCCTCCCCAGCCCAGCCCCTCCGCGCTCTGGCCCTGGACAGGGCCTGGCCACCCGAGGGATCTCGCGCCAGCCCGGGCGTGCGGTGACCCTGCGGCCGCCCGGCTCAGTCTCCGCCCGCGCGGCCACCTCGTGCAGGTCGCGTCCCCGCCCTGGCCTGGCTTTGCGTCTGGCTGGGCCCCTGCCGCTCTCGCAGTCGGCTCGGTTCTGAAAGCCCCCGTAGGGCAGCGGGTCTCGGGCTTTCAGGCCAAGGCGAGGCCCCCCGGAGGGAGCGGGGTGTGGAGCCGGGACGGATGGGCCGGCCCCTCCGGCGGCGGAGGGCGTGCAGGACTGTGCGGCCTAGCGGGTGGGGCGGCCCTGCAGGGGCTGGACTGGGAGCCGCACTGGGCTTAGACTGCACGCGGAAGCGGGGTGCTGAGCGTCGCCGCATCTGCCAGCTGCCCCACTTTTAAGTGGAATACTCAGCCGTGGCCCTGGACTCATGTCAGCTTTGCCAAAATCGTGAACATAGAGGGGTGCCCCTTAAGTCGAGGGCAGGCAGCCTGGGTCGTGGACCTCTGGGAGAGGATGGTGACCCCCTGGCGCTTGTTTGTCAGGGTCTGCTTGTCACACCTAAGGGGTTTTGAGCTTAGAAAGGAACTCGGCCTTCTAAGACCCTCTGGGTACTCTCGCAGTGCCAGACTCTGTTGGCTTGTGCTTGGCACTTTGCCCAAACTCATCTCAGCCTATGGGGACATTGGTGAGGGGGCTCCTGAGAGCTTGTTTCAGCAAAGGGCGAGTTGGAGTGAACTGGCTGAAAATGGGCCACTAGAGAGGGCCTCCCAGGAGTGGCGGCTGGGAGGCCTCCTCCTGCACCTCCGCATCTGGCTCCGGGCTGGGGCTCTCCTGGTGAAATTCTTCCCCCTCCTTCTGCTCTACCCTCTCACCTATCTGGCTCCCAGTGTCTCCAGCCTCTGGCTTCACCTGCTTCTGAAAGCCACTGAGACCTCAGGCCCAACGTACATCAAACTGGGCCAGTGGGCTAGCACCCGGAGAGATCTCTTCTCAGAGGCTTTCTGTGCCCAGTTCTCCAAGCTGCATGTCCGGGTGAACCCCCACCCTTGGACTCACACTGAACACTTCTTGCGGCAGGCATTTGGGGAGGACTGGGGGAGGGTCCTTTGCTTTGAGAAGCAGGAACCTGTGGGTTCAGGCTGTGTGGCCCAAGTATACAAAGCACGTGCCAATCCTGCCTTTCTGGAGAATAACAGCATCCAGAGACTTGCCAAGGCCTCCAGCCTGCAGCCTTCTTCAGAAGCTGGGGAAGTCAGTGGGCTGAGAGAGCTCTTTGGACACCTGGGGAAGGGGTGGAGGCCTCAAGGAAGTCTTGCTGACCAGTCATTTCTTGAAAGGCTGCTCCTCCCTAAAGCCGACCCGTTTGAATCGAAGGCAGTTGTGTCTCAGGCTTTGATGCCTGCCCGTGGACCTGAGCCAGATCACCTCATCCCTGTGGCAGTGAAAGTAAGTGCTCTGTTGTCTTCAGCTGGGCCCTTCTTATCTCTAAAATCTCACTGACCCCATGGAGCTGTCCCAGATCAGCAACCCCCCTTTGCAAATCACCTCGCATTGCCTTTCATTGATTTCTATTAGCTTGACCATTATCTGAGTGCCTATGATGTGCAAGCTGTTTTACTTCTTGGTTTGAGGGAGTAGGAATAGTCAGTCTGATAAAAGAAAATGAGGAGGGTTTGGGATTTGCTGCCTCTGTGGGTGGAGGAACAACCATCCAGCTGACCTACTACACTGGGGTCAGGATTAATTGGAGACAGACTAGCTTAGATGTGCTGTCGTGAGCCCAAGATGGCGGCATTCATTTTTACAGAAAGTGGCTTCCTTCTCTCTTCATTTCCAGTCACTCCTGCCTGGGCTTTATTATTTCTCATCTCCACACTTTTCCATCCCCATACAGGCTGTCCCCAGGGGATCTGACAGACACAAGTAGCAGGTACCCCGACTCTCATTTACCCCCTCTGAAAAAACCCTCCTAAGGTTGCCTCACTTCAGACCTACTGAATCATACTTTCCAAGGAAGGAGGCTGGGCCTGGCTTTTTATAAATGCTGCGAGTTATTCTCATGATCAGGCACATTTGGGAAACACTGGACCAAAATATCCCAAAAGTTTCCTCTGCTCTCTGGAAGACAAAAGGAGTAGATGCTTGCTGTGTACAAGGAAACATGCCAGTCATGTCAGATGCATTGTTTAATCTTTATTAGACACCTAAGGTAGGCATTCGTTTTTCTTATATCTATTTATTTATACCCCACTTTATTCATAAAAGGATTTGAGGTGGAGGTAGGGGCTCTTATCTGCATTTTTTGAAAGATGGAACACGAGGCAGAGAGAGGTTGACTAGCTTGCCCAGTTTCATACAGGGAATGAGTTGCAGAACTGGACTTTGAAACGAGAGCTCTTTCTATCCCCCCTCAGTGCATCCCTGTTGGAGTTCCGCAACTCTAGAGCCTTATTCATCAGGCTTTGGACTACCTGACTCGGGGTTAGCTGGTGCGCTCAGTGAAACGCAGATTCCCAGCTCCACTCCCAGAGTGGGTGATTCAGTGGATCTTGGAGGAGGCCTGGGAGCCCACAGTTTCACCAGGCACCCCATGGTGACTTTTATGCACGCTAATGTTTGGGAGCCACTGATCTGAACTTAATGTATTTGGAAGGAAAAGCCCACCTATTCTTCCCAGCAAAGCTGAGTGCAGTGCAGAGGAGCTGCCCTCGGCATCCCCTCAGGGAAGGCACATGGGAATGAGGGAGGCCGCAGCAGCCTGGGTGTTGGGACCACTTCCCCTTTGCTCTGATGAGAAGGTGGCCTGGCTCTTCTTTGATGGTGGGACCTAGCCCTGGCTTCTGATCTCATTGTTTCTCTTTCTGGCAGGTGCTGCACCCTGGCTTGCTCTCTCAGGTGCAGATGGACCTGCTGCTGATGAAGATGGGCAGCCGAGTCCTTGCACTTTTGCCAGGAATCAAGTGGCTTAGCTTGCCTGAGATTGTGGAGGAATTTGAGAAGCTCATGGTCCAACAGGTGAATTCTCCTTCCCTTAGTTGTAAATAGCATCTAACATAGGTCTTGCTATTAGCAGCTATTTAGTAACTGCTGAATGAATGCGTAATTTCCCAGTATGTCATGGCTAGTTTGGTGTATTAGTCAGGGAGGTAATACTAGCTGATATAACAAAGAACACTCAGATCTCTGTGGCTTAATGCCACAAGCTTATTTCTTGCCTATATCAAAGTTGCATGCAGGTGAACTGTGGAGGGAGGGAGCTCTACGCCATAGTTATTCAGGGACCCAATTTCCTCCCAAGTTTAGCACTGCCATCTTGCACGTGTCAACCAGGGTCAGTGGGGAATGGGGAGAGAGACCATGGAGGATCATGTAAGAGATTTTTTTGGCCAGGCCTGGAAGTGATGAACATCACTTCCTCCTCATCTCCACATCAGAGCTTTAATCACAGGGGCCCAATGGAACTGCAAGGGTGCTTGGGAACCACAGTCTTCCTTAGGGCCTGGGAGGAAAGTGAAATGATTCAGGTGGAATTATCTGTGCCACAATCAAGCCCTGAACTCCAGGGGGACCAGAATAATCAGAGAGGTCACATCCTCTGCCTTTGTTGTGCTTTGTTTCCAGGGCTTATTGAGTAGACAAGGACCTCCTCCCTGTCCAGGAGTAGCCAGACTTGGTAAACACACCTTGGGGGCGGTCAGGGCTCCAAATAGGCGTCTGCACTGGCTCCCTGCATGACAGTGCAGAAATGCAGGCTTTCAGAAGCAGGGCGCCAAGTCTTCATTTATGTCCTTGGGTTTAAGGTTTTAAGTCCCAGGGATGCGTTGTAATATTTAGAAAGCTTTGCTTTGTACTATGGAGTAGTGTAGTTTCAATAATAGAAGAAAATTAAAACAGAGAAAGTAGCTTCTATTCCAACAACCATCTCTGCATTAATTACTCTCGAGTCTACTACCCATCTGAGCTTCAGTTCCCCTTCTAGCAGTCGGACAGACATCACAGGGTCCTATCACATTAAACTCAATCTCTATATCTCACCCAATTTTGCCTCAAAAATCGGCTCTTCCTACTAGCTGTGTCTCTCAGTAGTCCCATCACGTTCCCAGGCTTGAAACCTTAGAGTCTGGGTGCATGTGTGGGAGTCTTTCTCTCCTCATTCATTTATAAATTCATGTAACATTCATTAAGAACTCTGTTGGAAGCTGGTGAACTAAGAAAACAAGTGAGATCGTCCTGTCCATGAGGAATCTATAGTAGGCAGAGGGGGGCTGGCCCGTAAATACTTGCAATAAAGCATGATGGGAGTTACAGGAGGAGTCTACAGGTTCAGGTGGGGTCAGCTGGGGCTCAAGAAAGGAAGTGGTCTTTCCATCATGAGGGTCAGGGGTCCTTGGGCTTCAGCTGAGTCTTGAAAGGTGAGTGGTGTTTACAATTGGACCAAATGGGGGAGGAACATTCCAATCAGACAGAATAAGGAAGGCAAAGGAGAGACAGAGGCGTCAGGCAGGCTGGGATGTTCAGCACTATACAGATGGGGTGAAGCTTAAGTTTGGGGCAGTGGTGGAATCGGGAGGCACAATTGATGGACCTGGAGAGAGAAGCAGGGGCCAAAGCATGACCCACCTTGGGTGTCATCCTAAAGAATTTAGCCTTCATCCTGTAGGTAGAAAGGGGACATTAGCAGATAGATTGGCGAGAGGGAAGATAGGTCAGGGAGCCCAGCTAAGATGCCTCTGTTAGGGTTCAGGTGACTGATTGCGAGTCACCTTGGGATAGCAGTGGGGTGGAAAAGGGGAATGGATCTGAAAGTGGTTAGGGCCGCAGAGTTGATGGCACTGAGTCACTGATGGGTGTGGAGGGTAAGAGAGGAGGAGTGATCTTCAGTGACTCTCAGGTGACTGGGCGTACAGGGGGTGAAAGTAAATTCTGTTTAGATATTGAGATCAAGGGTCTCTGGGCTTTCATGAGGCAACATCCAAATGTACTTGAATATAAGTCTGGAGTCTGGTAGAGGGGTCTGGACAGGAGATCAAGGTTCTGTCAACAGGAGGCGCTAAATGAGGATGTGAGGGGCTGGAGAGGGAGAGCACCAGCATCTGTGGCGCACTGAGGAGGAATGGCGGAGAACAGACCAAGGCGGAATGGTTGGAGAGGCAAGGGGAGAACTGCGGAGAGGAAGAGCAGGTGCCGAGAGAAGAGCTGTTCAGGAGAAACGTGGTCATCAATGGCCCCAGTACCGGGTGCCCAGAGCATTGATTAGGATAAAAACGGGACTGGGTCTTTGAGTCTGGCAAGCGCAAGGCTTGGTGAGTTTAGGGAGAGCAGTGTCAGTGTAGTGGGGTGGAGGGCAGAGCCAGCCTTGTGAAGGAAGTGGACTTAATCGAAGGACAAGGCTAGAGGGCGGGCTAGTGGAGGACAGCGGGCTGCCCAAGAGGCAACAAAGCTAAACCCCTGGAGATGGGGAGGGGTCCATCTGCCGTGGTGGAGGGAGTGGGCGGATAAGGAACAGCAGAGAAGCAGTGAAGGCCAAGTCCTACAAGGGTATCTGCTGTCTGTAGCTTAGAGGAGTTCACGTGGAGGTTCCGGACTTCTGGGGAGGCCGTTAGTCCCAGGATGCCTGCTCCCGAGTTTCCTGGGGAGTCATGCAGGAGAAGCGGGTGGGGAGGGCAGGTGAATCCCGTGACCTGCTAGCTGTCTGGCAGTTCAGATGTTGCTATCCTTGTGCCCACTTACCCCCTCGTCTTTTCTCTCCATTTCCCTGTAGATCGACCTGCGTTATGAAGCTCGGAATCTAGAACACTTCCAGTGCAACTTCCTGAATGTGAATTCTGTCAAATTCCCTACCCCTCTGCGTCCCTTTGTCACCAGGGATGTCTTGGTGGAAACATATGAAGTAAGAGTAAGAGCTTCCCCTGGCTGTGCCTTTCACTCACAGCCGGGCGCCTCCACTCCACGTGCTCCACACGAAGGCTTTAGTCTGTAGAGACGAAAGCCAAGAGAGCGTGTGCTTACTGTCTGTAAACAGAGAGAACTTCATTCGGATACGGCATGAGGGTGGGAGGGAGCGTAGCGAGGTGGCTGAGGCCCTGGACGTGGCCTCACACTTGGTGGATTTGAAAATCTGCCCTGCCGTTGTATTTGCTGAGTGATTTCAGTTTCCTCATGTGTAACAGTGGGCAACCACTCCTGCTTCCTAGGGTTGTCCCAGGAGTCAATGACACGTTGAATGCAAAATGCCCTCAGCACAGGGTCTGCACAGAGAAAGTGCTCAACAAGTGTTTGTGTCATGTCATTGCCTTAGCTACCTCCTGATCCAGACTCCTTTGTAAAGATGGTAATATGAGATCCAGGGAAGTGATGTGAATGACTCAATATTACTAGCTTGTTGAGCAAGTTACTTAAACTCTCTGGGCTTTAGTTCTTGTATTGGTTAATGTGAGATAACAAGATCTATCTCAAAGGACTGCTTTGACAATTACATAACTACCCTATATGAAATGCTTATTTACTGGCTCCCCATTCTTCTCTCTCTTCTTTTCTTTTTCCTTTCCGTTTTCCTGCTCAAGGTCACAGAGCTCATTCATGTCCCTATTGGCTGATTCTTGACCAGAAACTAGCTCTCCTGGGGCCAGCTCCCATCTTTTCCCAGGACATCTCTTACCTGTGGGTGGCAGAGTCAAGGGGTTTCCTCCCTAATAAATCTATGGGACTAGTTTCCTTTGGGAAGTGTTATAGAAGGGAAATGTCAATGGGTTGAAATCAATGTGTGGGTGACAGATTCCTAGGGTTCTAAGAAAGGAAGAACTCTTGGGGTCACTTCCCAGTGGGTGGGAAGGCAATGCTGATGTGTCACGTGGGGATGAGGAGCAGGGCCTTCCAGGTAAGCCTGTTCCCTCCCTGACCTTCTTAAAGGAGAGCGTGCCGGTGTCCAGTTACCAGCAGGCAGGGATTCCCGGTGACTTGAAAAGGAAGATCGCACGCCTGGGGATCAACATGCTCCTGAAGATGGTGAGCTCATGGGCTCGGAGAGGGGGCTCAGACCCAGCATGTGGTCGAATTGCATGTGGGGAGATGGCGGGGACACTGCTCGGCTATCGTGGGCGGGAAGGTGAGCCAAGCAGGAAGCTGCCACGTTGAGAGAATCTGCTCTAGAAATAGCTGAGCCCACGAGAACACCCATTCATTCTACAGCCTCTGTTAAGCACTTTCCCACTGGCATGGGCTTTGTCACCACGCAAGATGCTGTGGGAAGAGTGGTGAGCAAGACTCAGGACTGGCCCAAGCTGCCTACAGCTTAGGCAAACAGCCAAAGACAACATCGTATGGGAAATGCCACTTCATTCATTCGTTGAGCACCTGCTGTGTGCCAGGCACTGAATTACGAGCTAGATTTACAGTAGTGAGCAAAACAGACATTATTACAATGTTCATGGAACTATCATTCAGTGGGAAGACAGGCCACGATAAATAAATGATATATAGGGTAAGATAGACACCAAAGGATCACTTAGGAGGGGCCCAACCTAGCCCAGAGATCTATTCAGGAAGTGGCTCCATCTCAGCTGGGATGTGAAGGAAGTCTAGGTGTCACCTATGAAGTTGATTGAGATTGTCTAGGGATTGCAGAGAGATTTTCTGGGGTCTGAAGTCTTCCTGGTGGTTGGCACAGAAGAGAGTGGTTGAGGGATGGACGGCCAGGTCTAGGCTGGAAAGAGAGGACGAGTGCCCAGGTCTGGAGGGTGAAGATTCGGGGTACGAACGAACGGGGTGTGTGGTCAGAGAGTGGGAGGAAAGCATCGATGTGACCCAGGTGGAGCCATGGCGGCCGAGGCAGGTGGCAAATGTGGGGCAGAGATGAGAACAGGAGCTCAGAGCAGGGTGGTGGCATGGTGCGAGCTGACAGCACACACGGGGGTGGCTGTGAACCAGACGCTCCTGTGGAGAGGGCTCAGGGCGACAGAGGTGGCAGTGGTTGAGTGGCCCTGACTCCACCTCCATCCGCAGGATCCGTGGGTGTGGAGGGTCAGCAGTCCCCACCCAAGGGGCTCCTGGAGAAGTGAGGTTGTCTTGGGAGAGCCAGGTTTCCACTAAGTCAGTGCAGTGGAAGCTCAGTGGGGAGAGGACTTTGTCCCCAGTTACAGGGCTCTGAGGGGTTCCGTGTGCCGGAGGGAAGGGCACAGCGGGGAGCAGCCAGGGGAGAAGCAGCACCCAGCAGTGGGGAGAACATGAGGGGCTTCCAGCTCATGGGATCGAGGATGGGTGCATAGGCCTGGGGTCTGAACTGACAGCAGCGTGCCAGGAGGTTCGGTCCCAGGGTCAGGGGTTGGCCAGCCTTTGGTGACCACATCCTGCAGGTGTGCAGGCCCTGGCTTCCCCAGGTCCCAGGACTTTCATCGGGGCAGCGGCCTCCCTAAACCTCCAGCAAAGCCAGGATCTAGACTGGGAGGGTCTCTCTGTGGCTTGGGTGTGCAGCCTGCATCCAGGAGGAGGAGGGGCTCTGTGTCCGCCAGAGGAGTCCTCTGACAGCCTCTCCACCAGTAGCTGCTCTGCACCTACCTCCGGGTCTCTCCTCCTTCCCCGTACAGGACTGCTCGTGGTTTCTCTAACCACCAAGATGACCCTTCACAGGAGGCAGATTCCTGTTCCACAAAGTCACGCCTGACTTCCCGTCCATCACAGTCCCTGGGGCTTTCTTTCCTGCTTAGCAGGTTCAAAGCTGTTTCTCTCTGCCTACCCAGTCCTGTGTGCCCAGATGCGGTGTCACTGTCACTGTTAGACTTCACTGTGTGGACAGAGCTCATGGAGGGGAAGTCTGACGTGAAATATTTCTAAAAGTAAGGTAGTTCTATGAATTTTAACAACAGAGAGGCTTGGGAAAAATCTTTAAACAATAAGTAGACAGTTATTTTTAATTTCAATATTAATTGCTCAAATCATAGAGTAAAAATAAGTCTTTTGAAATGCAGTTTGGTCTTTGATTTTTATGTTCCCTTATAATTGTTTTTAATGCTCTTTACCTTGAAAATAACTTTTCTCTTGAAAACTTCAACCCAGCCTGTCCCTGTACAAATTCTGAATTGATGACATCAAGCAATGAGGCTTTATGAAATGTACCCCTCTCTGCCATTGTAATCAATCACTGGGAACTTACTGTCGCCCTGGAAGCTTTTTCTGCGTGTGGCTTGGTGGTGATGGGGTGGTGAGGGTTGACCTAGCCTTGAACAGCACTGATCTCTTTCCAGATATTTGTGGACAACTTCGTCCATGCGGACCTTCACCCTGGGAACATCCTGGTCCAGGGCGCCGACAGTCTTTCCAAGAGCCAAGAGGCAGGGCTGCAGCAGGCGGACGTCTGCGACACGCTGGTGGTGGCCGTGACGCCTGCCCGGTGCCCGCTGCGTCTGGTGCTGCTGGATGCCGGCATCGTGGCCGAGCTGCAGGCCGCCGACCTGAGGAACTTCCGGGCAGTTTTCATGGCCGTGGCGTTGGGGCAGGTGAGACCTGCTGGGCTCTCGGGAGCTGGGCCCAAATCTTCTAGGCTCTTGGGAACTGCAGGGCCCCTCAGCCTTCATTGTTCTTGTAAATGCCTACATTTGCCAAGGGTGCTCCTGATGGAAGTGGGTGCAGCAGAGTGAGGGAGGAAGGAGAGAGGAAGGAGAGGAGATGAAGCTTCCTAAGGGGTCTTTAGGCAGAATGTGCTGGAGCCCACGTCTGAGGTCAGGTCCCAGCCGCTCATGGTTTGGGATGAGGGGAAGAAATGCCTCCTTCCCAAATGCTGTTGCGTCCTGGTAGTTTCTCTTCCTTCTTCAGCAAGTGTACGCGTGAGAACTAGGAAGGCTAGCTTCTTGACTGAGCTGTCCCGGTCTATGCCATTTGCTGTGAGACGGAGGGCTGGTGAGAAGCAGCAGCATAGACAGCTTGTTCTTCCAGTGCAGGAAGACATGTTCACATCTCTCGTGGGGGGACCGCGAGTCGTTTTTAACCCCACACCCCATGACTTGGGGGGGCTCCAGGGGTTGAGGGTTATTATTTAGAGAAAGAGATTCCATAAAGCCGCTACTGAGTCAACTTAAAGTGACACTTCAGAGGTGACAATGAAGAAACCCTCTGGCTGGCTGGTGCAGAATTCTCCAGCAAGAAAGACTATGGGAAAGAGCAATCTGGTAAAAAAAAAAAAAGAGGCAAAATTCAGGGGAGTCCCTGCTTTGGAGGCTTCCGAGGAGGCAAAGTAAAATCTTGTGCCTGAGCAATTTGAAAGTGTCGCCTGGGCCAAGGTTAAACACTGAGGAAGAGCTTGGCTCCAGGGGCGGTGCTGCAGGAGGAGAACGGCATTCCCAGTGACCACCAGGGTGGGAGACCATGGCGGCTTTGGTCAGAGGGCATCCTGGGCAGAGAGGACAGAGGCTCGGTCAGCTGTGAGGAGGGCCTTCTGCTTGAGCAGGAAGAGAGCCCATGAGGAAAGTGGGTCCTAGTGGCTCTGGGGCTGGGCCAGTTGGTCAGCAGTGTCGCGTGGAGCATGGGCAGCAGGACACTGGCTCTGCTGCTATGCCCCGTGTGGTCCTAGAGGGTGAAGGAGACGAGCACAGCTCCTTGCCCTGACTGCGCCAAGCACAGGTAGGGTCCCACCGATCAAGAAAGACCTCAACAGACTGTGGTGGGTTACCAGGTACTCTGGAGGGGTAACATTAAAAAAGGACGGGAGGCCAAAAGCAGGAAGGTAGACAAATTAGGGTGGAAGGAACTAGGATATGAAGAAGTTTGGGCAGAGCATCTAGTTTCGTCAACTAGCATCAACTCCCGACTCTGCCAAGTTTCTTTTCTTTTGCATTTTCCAGGGCCAAAGAGTGGCCGAGCTCATCCTGCATCACGCCCGGGCCAGCGAGTGCAGGGACGTGGAGGGCTTCAAGGCCGAGATGGCCACGCTGGTGACCCAGGCCAGGAAGAACACCATCACCCTGGAAAAGGTGAGCAGGCCACTCACTTGAGGGGCAGGGGCCTTGTATTGCCCTTGCCTTGGACAGAGCAAACCCCAGGTCTAAGGGAGACCTCTTTATGAGGAGACGTCTCGAGGGGTTTGAGTTTTAAGGCAGATAAAGAACAAACCTTTTCCTCTGCCCACATCTTCCAGGACAAGGAGGCCTATTGAAATCCTGGCTCTCGACAGTGGCTCCTTGCCCAGGTTCTCCAGGGTGGCTGCGGGGAAAGTGACATTTATGGTGCCACAAGCCCTCCCTGCCTGGGGTGTAGCTGTTCTGCTGCTTCATCTGGAGCTCAGCTGAGCGTGGAGGGAGGGGGACGGAGGCCCTGAGCAGCCAAATGACATACCTCATGTTCATGACCTTTATTTAGACCTGAACCAGAGCCCGCTTTGTATTTTACACACAGTTCTAACAAACTGGACCGTTTTTTCCCCAAGTTCACGTTCCACACTCGCAGGAGTGAGTCAGAACAAGGAGTGGCCCCCTGGCAGTGAGGAGAGGCTGCCAGCCCCCGGCCCTGCCGACCTCACTTGTTCAGACGTGGGTTTGTGTGCTGGGAGCGAGGGGGAGATGGGCCTTAGGGCTGTCCTCCTGAAGGGGTCTTTGAACTTGGTCTCAGGGTGGGAGTTGGGCATGTGTGTGTGCAGTCCTTTCTGGAGCTGGTCAGACTGTCCTTTCCCCCCCACTGGTGTGTGTGTGTGTGTGTGTGTGTGTGTGTGTGTGTGTAGGTGTGTGTGTGTAGGTGTGGGTAGTGGGACAGGGGCGGGACAGGGGCCTGGATGTGTGTGTGTGGGTGTGGGTGTGGGTAGTGGGTAGTGGGACAGGGGCGGGACAGGGGCCTGGAAGGAAGAGAAGCGGTTCCTCTGCAGTCTCTGCAGTCGGCTTTATTCTGTTTTCCAGCTTCAAGTTTCCAGCCTTCTCTCGAATGTCTTTAAGTTACTGATGACTCACAAGGTGAGGCCCCAGCGGAGCTGAGCCTCAGTGCTCTGGTCAGGCTGGAGGGGAGGTTTCTGGGGAAGTCAGCGGGGAGCCGCAGGGTGGTGAGAGATGCTTCTCTTAGATGAGATCTCATTTTCGTACCAATCCATCTGCATGAAGAGTGCTGTTTGTCTCCTGATGTGGGTATAGCACAGTCTTTCCTTCGTCACACTGTTAGTCTCTGTATCTGTCATTTTATGCCCTCTAAGTATCTGTGATACTTAACTACAGAAAAATGGATTAACAAGTGTAAAAAAGGTCTAACTCAGGCTTTTCATGCCTTTTCCCTCCTCAGCTCACATTAATGATGCTTGGTATTAATGTAAGTCATACTTGGGCAGCTCTTTCCTGAGTGGCGTAAAGTCCTGGGGTTGTGGGTAGCCCAAGAGGGAGGTGCCTCTTATCCCGGTGGGGTTGGCCTGGCCTCCGCCTCCTGCCCCCTGTCTCTTGGAGGGAGGTGGCCTCCTAGTGCTTCACCTTGGTCTTTGCCCCAGCTCTGTCTCCTTGTGATGGAGTGTGGTCTCGGGCCACTCTTCAAAGCAAAGCTGCCAGCCAAGGGTACAGGGTGTTGAGGGCAGGGAAGGGAAGATTCTCGTGGGAAGGCTTTTCCCATCTTTTCTCTTGAGGTTCTGCCATTTGATAATGAAACACTGCATGGAAAAGGCAGCCACTTGGCAAGGATCATAACATAGAGTTAAGAATCAGAAAGTTGTCTAGTCCAGCGCCTTCATCTTATAGAAGGCGCAGTGGAGGCAGGGCAGTCAGCTCTGCGGGTCGGGTCGGGCCTCATGGGCGGAGCCAGGAGTTGACATGTGACCCAGGTCGCTCAGTCCAGTGCTCTTTCTGCTGTTCCAAAACCTCTGTGGTAGCCGCATGTTTGGGCCAAAACAGACGCACAGACTAAGGGACTCCCCGAGTATGCTACGGATGCGTGATGGTAACAGCTACAGCCAGCACATGTGGGAAGCATACCGTAACCCAGGAGCTGCCATGCTGGGGGCTCTTCATCCAGTTTCTCATTTCAATCTCAGGATAATCCCATGGGTGGGTGTGATCCCTACTGTATTATCCCCACAAGGAGACTGGGGCACAGAGAGGGTAAGTAACTCCCCAAGTCCCACCAGTAGTGCCTGATGGAGCCAAGGTCTGCACCCATCTCTCTGACCTAGGGTTGGATTTGTTGGTGGGGTTTTTGTTTTTTAGTTTTTGGTGAAAAACTTTATGCTTTGCAAAACTTTTGACAAGTTCTATTTTAAAAACAATTTAAATATCACCTTAGGATTGGGGAAAGCTTTAGTCATCACTAGGGAGCTGGACTAGGGAGTTGGCTTGGGAAGAACTAGGAATGAACATTTACTCCTGGGAGTTCAGTTGCACAGGATGTGGAACAGGTGGATGAGGCTCACATCCAGCTCCTTCGCCTACCCACCCTGACCTGCACGAACCTCTCCTAGCCCACAGGGCCATTGTGAGGGCTGCATGAGGCCACGACAATAGTAATCACAGCAATGCGCCGTGAGCTCCCTCATGTGCTCAGCGGTATCTAATTTAGCTATATTACATCCATCAGAATCCAGATTAATCCCTTCAACATTTCTCAAGGCAGGCCGCAATGCCAGGAGGCCAGGAGACTTGCCTATGGCCACACGGCCCCCGTGGCAGTCCCAGGACCCCGTGTCAGTGGGCTGACCACGCAGCCCCCACTCCTCTGTTCTCCTGCCTCCTGTGCTCTTACTCTGCACATAGGCTTCCTCACACACAGCGTGGGACACATGGTTGAGAGCTCCTTAAAAGTTTGCTGTTGTCGTTGTTCCCAGGAGGGAAGAACAAAGAGAGGGCCTCGTACAGCCATCATATTCTAAGCACTTCACTAGGCACTTAATTGTTTTTAAAATGTTTAAAAAACTTTAATTGTCGTAAAAAATAACAAAATTTACCCCCCCAACCATCTCTAAGTGCACAGTTCAGCAGTGTCGACTATATTCACATTATTGTGTAACAGATCTCTAGAACTTTCTCTTCTTGCAAGACCGAAACGCTACATCCATTGAACAATAACTCCCCATGTCTGCCTCCTCCTGGTCCCTGGCAGCCACCGTCCTACTTTCTGTTTCCATGAGTTTGACCACTTCAGATATCTCATAGAAGTAGAATCATACAGTATGTGTCCTTTTGTGACTGGCTTATTTCTCTCAATATAATGTCCTCAAGGTTCATCCATGTTGTAGCATGTGACAGGATTTCCTTCTTTTTAAAGACTGAATAACATTCCGTTGTATGTATCCATCAATGGACATTTGGGCCACTTCTGCCTCTTGGCTATTGTGAATAATGTTGCAATGAACATAGGTGTGCAAATATCTCTTCAAGGTCCTGCTTTCAATTCTTTTGGATATATACCCAGAAGTGGGATTGCTGGATCATATGGTATTGTTTTATTTTCTGAGGAACTGCCGTACTGTTTTCCATAGTGGCTGCACCATTTTACATTTTCATCAGCGGTGTACAAGGGTTCCAATTCTCCACATCCTCACCAACACTTGTTATATTCTATTTTTTTAATAATGGCCATCTTAATGAGGGTGAGGTGATATCTCATTGTGATTTTGATTGCATTTCTCTAACGATTAGTGATGTTCAGCATCTTTTCATATGCTTGTTGGCTATTTGTGTATCTTCTTTGGAGAAATGTCTATTCAAGTGGCACTTAATTTTTTAATAAAACATTTGACAGAAACATAGAGGTAGAAAGACCCGAAGAATTCACCACTCAGCTTAAGAATGAAAGCATTCCAACAGCACTGAAGCCCCAGCTCTCCCACCCTGAAGAGAGCCTGCGTGCCTAAGGATCCTCTGTCCACCCTCTCACGTCCCAGCTGGAAGAACCCGAGCTGCTAACAGGAGCCTGCTGCTTTCTCCTGATCAGCCTGTCTGAACCACTAGACAGCTTTCCAGGCCTTAACAGAGAGACAAATACTCTTTAATTTTAACAAATATTATTACCCCATGAGTCAACCTTCCATTTCCTGACCTTCTGTCCCCTTGAGAAACAGATTCTTGTTCTTCTAGGTTCAAATCCTGGCTCTACTCTTCCTCACCCAGCGGCCTTGAGCAAGTCACTTAACCACCCTGAGCCTTAGCTTCTTTACCTATAGAATAAGGAAAATGATAGTACTTTTGAGGCTTAATTGAGTGATCAATGTAAAGTGCTATTACTATTAACCGGCTCCAGAGGGGAAGAAACTCTGCCATGTATGAGCAAAGCCAGTTGTGTGTGGTCTCTTAAAAAAGGCTACAGTAGATTTTGAAGAATGACCCTTATTTAGATTTATAGTTTCTGATATATCTGTGAAACTGTTTTAATTATTTTTAAGTCATTCATACACACACAGGTGCAGACACACATACACTCCTAGAAAAGTACATATCGCATCCCCCACGTTTTTCCTTAATATTTCTAGTAGGTGGGAGGTTGGGTGAGTAGATGAGATGCGGGGAGACGATGGGGTAGGGATAAGAGTGTTAGGTGTCCAGTAAAAACCACATGGGCAGATACAAGAAGCCGAGTGGACAGCGACATGGTTACCCAGGATACTCTCTCTGTATCAGCGGGCTTTGGAAACAACCACTGTTTCTCTGTTTCAGGTAAAGCTTGAGAGCAACTTTGCTTCAATTGTGTTTGCCATCATGGTGTTGGAGGGGCTTGGCCGCTCACTGGACCCCAAACTGGACATCCTGGAGGCAGCAAAGCCCTTCCTTCTGAAAGGACCAGCGCCCTCCCCCTGACCGCAGCAGCGTGCGCTCAGCGGGCCTTTGCCTGAGAACTGGAGGCCACTCCCAACAGCCTCTCCTGTGGCAGCTTGAACATTTTAAAATTGGGATGCGTGGAGGGCGTACCATTGCTTTTCACTCTGCTTTGGTTTCAGGCGTCTGTTTTAAAAGCTTTGGGTTATTTGAGGAAGTGAAGGGAGGGAAGGGTCCTATCCATTCAGTCATGGAGCTGCTCCTGGTGTCAGGGAGACTCTGTTTCGGGGAAAATGTTCCGTGGAGGAGGACGAATAAACTTAGTTATTTTGTTTTCTTGTTTTTCTCCCTTCTCTTCCTAACCCTCTCTACTCCCTGACCAGGTGGGTCCTGCTGGTCAGTCCCAGACTCTGATATTTAGGTTAGAAAATGTCACAGAAGCCTGTAGACCCATGGCTCCCAAATGGTTTTTGATTATCTACCCTATGTATTTATATATACATGCACATATATACTTTATTTATAAGTTTTATAGAGGTGCTACCACTGGCAAATCTCTGGAGGCACAATATACACTTAGAGCAAATTTCACTGTATTTCAGATTATCTTCTTGATAATTTTTAATATCTTTTGCCAACCTCTTGCTAAATTTTATTACAAGGTAAAAAAAACCCAACAATGGTTAGTGTGGCTGACATACTAGGGTAGGAGCAGAATCAGCTCTGCCACTGTCTTACAGTTCTCCTGGGCTTGCACGCCAGCGTTCAGACGGCGGTTTCTCTGAGGCACGTTCAGGCCCTTGTCTATTTATCCAGGGTTAATTTTGGTTAATATTAATCTACAGATAATATAATCAGTCCATCCTGTCAACCAGGGCCTGAAATCCTCAGGAGCACCCAGTGACACTCCAGCAGTGAACTAGGGAGTGGCAGCCATGGCCTGCCCCTCTGGGCTGGCCGCCCCCGTGGACTGTTCTCTCAAAGCTGACCTGATGTGTGGCCGGCCCACATGGTCTAAGAGGGTGCCAGGGTCAGCTTGTAGAGTGGATATTAGTCAAGTTTAATTTCTTATTTTTCTGGATAAAAACAGTATTTTCTCCCATATCCCAGTGGATTCTCTTGCGCATTCTGGAGACCATCACTCTAGACAGCGAGTGGACAGTCAAGCCTTCTTGTTCCCTGAAAGTCCTGCTCTGGCCACAGGACTAGATTCTTCCATTCTTTCCTTCTCAAGGATAAAGTTCCTCATTTCTGTCTTTTAGGGAGCAAATAAGGTTTAGCGGGACAGCGATTCCTTTGGGGCAGTTATTTTCAGAGGGGTGGAGATGTTATTTCTACTTCCCAGGTCTTGAGAGGAGAGCGTTCTAGTCAGGTTGTGCAAGGTTGGGGTGGCTCCAGGTGGCTGCAAGGGGGCAGTGCCACTGGTCAGCTCCCTCTTCATGGGCACACCAGCCAGACACACGGCCCCTCATGCCAAGTGCACATACACTGTGGGGTGAGAGACAGGGCACAGACAGAGCAGGCGCCTCCTTGAGCCTACACCAGCACCACTGAGCCTTTCCTTAAAGCCAGTGGATTTAATCAAGCCATTTGTGGCATGTGGTAGTTATCTAGCACTGCATACAAACTACCCCAAAACTTAGTGCCTGAGAACAACAACATTTATTACCTCACAGTGTCTGCAGGTGAGAAATCTGAGTGCAGCTCAGCTGGGTCCACCGCTCAGCTCAGGGTTTTGCAGAGGCTGCAGACATTCTGAGGCTCCACTGGGGTGGGTCTGACGCCGAGCTCACTCACAATTCAGTTCCTCACGGGCTGTTGGACCGAGGGCCTTAGTTCCTTAGGAGCCGTTACAGCAGCAACAGAAAATGAACACAGGCTGTATCAAAGAGGAGAAAAACGGTTAACGGATGTGCTTTAATGTAGGTAACTTGCTGATTTTTAAAATAAGTATCTTAAAAATGCTAAATTTGTTTTATAAAGTCATCTTCTTAAGGAGAAAAGGCTCCTTCCTTGGGTATAAGTGGATAAAGTGGCGTTTCCCCCTAAGAGAGATCACAAGTCAGTCCCCTCTAAGGGGGAAAGTACAAGGTGTGTTTCTGTGTTACTAAAACCACTGGAAAGAAGAGCTCCTTTCTTCTTTCTAAGAGTCACAGGGAAAGGGAGATCCAGCAAGCCTTTAAAAGTAGGAAATTAAATAAACATCAAGTTGTGTGAACACAAGTTTTTTTTCCCTCATCCCTGTGCTCTGTTTTCTATTTCCAGCTAGGGAATAGGTTCTTGATTTGGGCTTAGATGCTGTATGGTAGATCATTTAGAGTCTGTCCTCAGAGTTTGTTAAAATTTGGGAATTCGATTTGCATTTAGAAGCCGGGAGCTCAATGTCAGGGCTTGGCATCCTTTCCCTCACTTTCTCAACTGCATCCATCAAACAGGGTGCTCATCAGAAAACCAAAGAGAGGGCCATCCTGCAACCTGTAAAGGCAGTGAGGGGTCTCTGCCCTTGGAGTAGTCGGAGCCAGTTGGCAAAAGAAACACGCGTCCTCGTCACATAGTTAAAAGAGTCTACTGATTGGGACCATAAACTTTTTATAGTAAAAAATCAGAATTTGTGATGCAAAACAATAAAGCTAAGGACCCCACAAATGATCAAAGATGATTATAGCTTTAAATACAAACAAGCATTGACGTTAAACCTTTTTGTTTTGTAATTCAGGAAGAAAGATTAGGATGAACGAATTTTAGTTCACCTAAATAGCTTTTGCTACTAGGAAAGGAAGGTTTAACAAAGGAATAAAAATTTCCTGAGTACATGCTGTGGGCCAGGTCCTATCTTAAATGACTCACTTCAGATGAGGGGCATTGACGCTCAGAGAAGTAAAGTGACTTGTGCGAATTCACAGAGCAGAGCTCAAGTCTGAACTCAGCTTGCACACAAAAATGCTTGGAATCACAGGAGCAAGGAGCAAGGCAGCTGTGTAGATTGGGCAGGGAGCTCCCGAGGAAGGACGGAAAGCCCTGTCCTCCCAATTCATGAACTTCCTATCTTAGTGGTAGGTACATGTCACTAGAAAGGGTAAGTGGTGAATGGTAGCCTAGAAAAAGCCACTCTGTTGCATATCAACTGGAAAGTCAACTTTCACCCAGAAAATAGTAGATTCTTTCCTCTAATTTATACGCTTAGAAGTCAGGAGGGCAGGCGAACAGGGGGAGAGAGTCCTACAGGGCCAGAGGGTCAATCAAGAGGCTGTTCAGAAGGGCATGGGGTAGTTGGGCAATCACAACCTTATGTGGGCCTCTCACCAGGGAAAGAGGGGTCCCGTTCCAGGGCACGTGGAAGCCCATATCTTGGCACAGAAGTAAGGGTATCAGTTACATTCAATACACTCAAATCCTTAAATTCAGGTCTACATTTGTCTCCGTAATTATCCTATTTTTCACACTTGTGACTCGGAACGTGAAGTCTTCAGTGCTTAACAAGTGAGCCATTTCAAACTGAAATCTCCCAGGTTTATAATTTAATCAACCTGGAGTTTCTTAGGAAAACTATAACCTGCAAGTGGAGACCCTAAGAATTTGGAGGAGGGTTTAGAGAAACTTGGAGTCCATCTAGGATTTAATAGAAGGCAATATTAGGAGACAAAAGCCGAGAATCCAGGGCTGGCTCAAGATCAAGGAATTAGGAGCATTGAATAAACTAGAGGCTGTGCTAAAATGCAGATTCCTTGGCCCTACTCCAGACTTAGAGTATCTGGGGTCGGGCTCCATAGGTGATTCTGATACCACCAGTCCGTGTACTAATATTTGGGAACCACTGGCTGCCAGTTGGTAATCAAGTTCAAGTTTGCAGAACAACAATAAAACAATGAAGACTAAAGATACCGTGATGAGCCTCTTGCAGGAGAGAAGAGTACAAAGGACTAGCCTTGAGATGGACCACTGGTTCAGAATGGATTTGGCAGCCTAAGAGCGTCGAGAAGGCAGTTAACTCAGGAGGAGGAGGCAGAGAGGCGGGTCCAGGTGGGAAAACACCGTCTAGATCAGCTCAGGCAGGGAGCAGAGAGTTCAGACTCAGTGTGAGTTTCTTAGCACACGTAACAGACACGGGCTCCTAAAGCGGAGCGCGGAGGCCCGGCCCCTGGGGCGTCCCCATCACCCTCCAGGAGGCACGCCCATCCCGGGGCGAAACGCGTGGCTCCGCCCAGCCGAGCTCGGCAGGACCAGCTCTTAGCAACGCCTAAGCCCGCCTGCACCATTCAGAAGGCGCCTGCCACCATCTAAGCCAGGACTCGCCGGGTCCCTCCGTGCGGACGGCACTCTCTGACAGCGGCCCTGGCGGCCCGCCCCAGGGAGGAGACTGAGATGCTCATTTGAGGCGGGAACAGCTGCTTCCCTCCTTCCCATACGTCACCCTCGGGGAGATGGGAGGGGCGATGCCGCTCATGCCACGGGGGGGCGCCAGGGGAAGTGACGTAAAGGCGGGGGTGCGGCCTGGGGAACGCTGTCTGGAGGAGCGCTGGCATGTCGGCTTTGACGCAGCTGGCGCCCTTCGTTCGCGTTGGAGGCCGCCTGTTCAGAGGCCGCCGCATGCGGGTGGCTGGAGGCGGTGGAGTCCGTAAGTGAGTGTCAGCTGGGGCTGGGGGCTTCGCGTGCGTCTAACGGGAAGTGCCTGTCTCCGGGGCACCGTCACCTTGACGCCGGTCACCTGGGGCGGATCCGGGTCCCTGCAGCGACCTCTGCCCCGAGGCATGCTGGGACTTGTAGTCCGACCGCGCGTGGGGCGGTGCCTCCCTACGGTTCCGCCATGCCGGGCTGGGGGGAAGAGGGGGATTGTGGGGGCAGGGGAGACTCTGGTCGCTTGGCGGATATTAAACAGTGTGTGCCGGCCATCCCTGCCGGCAGCTGCCCTCGGGAAATGTCCGGTTGAATGTGGAGACGAGCTGGAGCTAATCCGGAAGCGAGAGCAGGAGTTGGGGAGGGGAGGGCGTTCCCGGGAGAGGAAGCAACGTGTGGGTTTTGAAGCTCAAGTGCGAGGCAGGGAGTGGCAGAAGTGTGGCTGGAGACCTTGGGGTATTGGGAGGGAATGGTAGAGGGTCCTGGCTGAAGAATTTAGAGCAGAGGCGATAGCGGTCGTGGAGAGGTTTTACTCAGAGATGTCTCGTGGCCAGATTTTAATTCTGAAATATCACTGTGGCTGCAGGATGCAGAATTAGTTCTCTGAGGCATAGGAGTGGAGGCGACCCCCCAGAGAGAGCACCGGCGGGTGGGCAGAGAAGAGAGCCAAAAGTGGGTGCTTGGGCAGTATCGGAATTTTTCTTTTTTAAAAAATAGACTTTAAGAGCACTTTTAGGTTCACACCAAAATTGAGCGGAGGTACAGAGAATTCCCATATCTTCCCAGCCCCCCCACATGTATAGCCTTCTCCATTATCAACATCTTCCACCAGAGTGGTAGATTTGTTACAATTGATGAGCTTACAGTGAGACACTATTATCACCCAAAGTCTGTCGTTTACATTAGGGTTCACTTTTTTTTTTTAAGATTTTATTTATTTATTTTTCCCCTCAAAGCCCCAGTAGATAGTTGTATGTCATAGCTGCACATCCTTCTAGTTGCTGTATGTGGGAAGCGGCCTCAGCATGGCTGAAGTGGTGCGTTGGTGCACGCCTGGGACCGGAACCCCGGCCAGGGCTGACCAGCAGCGGAGCACGGAGCGCGCGCACTTAACTGCTAAGCCGCGGGGGCTGGCTCGGGTTCACTTTTGCAATACCAGAATTTAAGAGAGTGAGTAAAAGAAGAATCACTCCTGAGGTAGCCCAAGAAGCCAACTGGAGAGCACAGTGCTGGGAAGCGAAGGGGAGGGCACACCTGCCAAAAACGAGTCGGTAGTGCAGAGAGATTCAGTAAGAGCAGGACTGAAAATAGTACATCGGATTTTTCCAGGTGATGTTTCTGGCCCCTTAGACCATTATCTACACTTTACCAAGAGGCAGTGCAGGATAGTGGTTAAAAGCAGGGTTCTGGCCCCAGACTGCCTGTATTCAAATCCCACCTCTGCCCCACATTAGCTGTATGACCTTGGAAAAGTTTCTTGATCTCTTAATGCTTCAGTTTTCTCATCCATTTAATGAGGATAATAATGTCGATTTCCAGGGAACTAAATGAATTATAATTCTCTGAAGTATTTTAAGACAGTTGCCCATGCCTGGTAAGAAACATACAAGTATTATTTAACTGTTGTTTTTATTAGGGAACTGAGACCCAGGGAAATTAAAGGAGTGACTTGCCTAAAGTCATATGTCAGTCAAGCTTATGGAGCTGGGACAGGTGTAGGGTGGGAAGAAGGAAAAGGCCTGTGTGACCTGAGCAAAGACAGTGATAGAGCGCCACCAGCAATAGCCCTTGACCCCACATGAGGAGACTGGGAGGTGCTCCTTTTCACTGAAGTCTTGGTACTTCTGTAACACACCCTTATTTGATGGTGTGTGTGATAATTATAAGTATTTATGGAGCATCGTCTCGATGCCAGGATCCTTTCTGTGTGCTGGGAATAGAGCAAAATACAAGAAAGATAATGGAGCTTACATTCTGGGGAGAGGACACAAACAAGTAGAAAACATGTTAAGGTACTTTAAGCAGCATGAAGAAAGTAAAGCCTAGGGGTGGAGGTGGATGGGTTAGGGTACCTAGGATGATGTGGGAATGCAAGCTTGAGTCTGATTTGAACTAGGACCTGAATGATGAGAAGTCAGCCTTCCAGAGATGCCAGAGGAGCCTTTCAGATGGAGGAGAGAGCCAAGTGTAGAGGCTCTGAGTGCTGATGATGGGCAAGCAAACCTGTGAGGCTGGAGTGCCATGAGCAAAGGGCAGAGTGGTAGAGGTGAGGTCAGAGAGACGGGTGGGGGCCAGATGAGGGGGGACCTTGTCGGAGGAGGGATTTTATTCTAAGAATGATGAAGGGAAGCCATTGGAGGCTTTTAAGATTTTATTTATTTATTTTTCCCCCCAAAGCCCCAGTAGATAGTTGTGTGTCATAGCTGCACATCCTTCTAGTTGCTGTATGTGGGACGCGGCCTCAGCATGGCCAGAGAAGCAGTGCGTCGGTGCGAGCCCGGGATCCGAACC